CACAGTCAATACCGATAGAGCAATATCTATATCTATATCTATATCTATATCTATATCTATATCTATATCTATATATCTCTACATACATATGGAAATTTATTATGTGGAATTGGCTCACATGACTCTGGAGGCTATGAAGTTCCACAGTCTGTTTTCTGCAAGCTGGAGACCCAGGAAAGCTGCTGATGTAATTCAGTCCAAGTCCAAAGGCCTCAGAACCAGGGGAGATGATGGTATAAATCCTAGTCCAAGAGCAGGAGAAAATGAAATGAGATGTCCCAGCTTAAGCAATGAGACAGGAAAAAAAAAGGATAAATTTCTCCCTCCTCTATCTCTTGTTCTATTCAAGCCTTCAACAGAGATGGACATTATGTAAAGATAAAAGGGTCAACTCTACCAAAAAGATGTAACAATCCTAAATATATATGCACCAAACAACAGAGCCATGAAATATGTAAGGCAAAAACTGATGGAACTGAAAGGAGAAATATACAAATCAACAGTTATAGTTGGGAGACTTCAACATCCCTCTTTCAACAATTAATTGATAGAAAAACTAGACAGAAAATTAGCAAGAATATGGACTAACTCAACAACACCATGAACCAATGGGATTTTATTGATATTTATAAAACACTCCACCTGCCAATAGCAGAAAACACATTCTTGTCAGAATGTAAACCAAAAAAGACCATATCCTAAGCAATGAAATTAATCTCAACAAATTTAAAGGAATTTAAATCATGTACAATGTGTCCTTCATCCAAAATGGAATCAAACCGGAAATATAAAATAAAGATAATAGGCAAATTTCCACTTAGGAAATAAACAATACACCTCTAATTTCAAGGGAATTTCAAGGGGAATAATAAAATGCATTAAACTGTAAAATAAACTGTAATAAAATAAAACTGTAAAATAAAGATAATAGGAACATTTCCACTTAGAAAATAAACAATACACCCCTAATTTCAAGAAATTTCAAGGGAAATAATAAAATACATTAAACTGTATAAAAATAAAAATATAACATATCAAACTTTGTGGAACAGGCAAAGCCTTTGTTGAGAAGGAAATTTATTTTATTAAATGCGTATAATTAGAAAAGAAAAAAAGCTTCAAAAAAATCTAAGCTATCGTATCAAGAAACTAAAAGAATAGTTGCAAAATAAAGTCAAGGCAAGGAGAAGGAAGGGAATCATAAGAACAGAAATGAATAAAATAGAAAAGGAAAATAGAGAATAGCAATGAAAACAAGCTGATTCTCTGAAAAGATCACTATAATTGACCATCCTCTACTAACTGACATAGACAAAAAAGCAAGTTACCAATACCTGGGATACGGGCTATCACTACAGACCCCGAAGATGTGAAAATGATACTAGGAGAATACTTTGAACAGTTCCACCCACATACATCTGATAATTTAGAGAAAATAGATCAGTGCTACAATACTCCCCCGTCCCCATAAACCAGACATTACCACAACTCACCCAACATGGACTGCCTCACTTGAATAGCCCTAAACCGATATTAAGGATATTTAATTCATAACCAAAAAAACTTCCAACAGCAAAATTTCCAGGCCCAGATGTTTTTACTGGAGAATTCTACCAGATGTTCATAGAAGAATTAGCATCAATCTCCACAATCCCTTCCAGAAAGTCGACAAAGAGAATGGTTCCCGGTTCGTATCATAAGGCTAGTAGTACCTTGATATAAAAACCAGACTGTACGCAAGACTCTTAACTGTAGAGAACGAACTGATGGTCACCAGAGGGGAGGTGGGTGGGGGGATGGGTGAAATACACGATGGAGAGTAAGGAGTCCACCTGTGATGAGCACAGGGTCATGTACGGAAGTGTTGAATCGCTACAGCGTGCCCTTGAAACTAATAGTACACTTTATGTTAACTAATTGGAATTTGAATAAAAAACTTAAAAAAACCAGATTGTACAAAAGAGGCAAACTGCAGATCAACGGCCCTCATAAACATAGGTGTAAAAGTCCTTAACAAAACATTAGCAAGTAGAATTTGACAATATATAAAAGGAATCATACACCGTGTCCAAATGGGGTTTATTCTGGTGATTGCACTCCTAGGCATTTATCCAAGTGCTATTAAAACTTAAGTCCATGCAGATATGTGCTCATGATTGTTTATAGCGTCTCTATTTGTAATAACCATAAACTGGAATCAACCAAATAGTCCAGAATAAGTGAACGGTTAAACCATAGCATACGAATACGCCAGATCACTATTCCACAATCAAATGATCGACTGTTGGTATGTGCAGGTACTTGGCTGGATCTCAAAGACCTTAGGCCGAATGATGAAAGCTAATTTTTGAGTTGGCTTTTGAAAGGCACATCTTGTAGGAGTCCATTTATACAGCGTTCTTGAAATGACAGAATGACAAAAAAGGAGACAGGTAGATGACTGCTGGGTTGTAGGGATGGATGGTGGATGGGGCTGGGGTGGGGAGGAGGGTGTGCGTGGCTGCAAAAGGGAGATCTTTGTGGTGACGGAGCAGTTATGTGTCCAGATTGTGGTGGTGGCTACACCTGCAATAAAATGACACAGGTACATCGTACCAAGGTCAGTTTCCTAGTTTTGATAGTGTTCCGATGTTACGTGAGATGCAACCACTCGGGGAAACTGGATGAAGATTATATGGAGCTTTTTTTGCTTCATTTTTGCAACTTCCTGCCAATCTCTAATTATTTCCAAACAAAACAATTAAGAAAGCAATGCATGGGGCACCTGGGTGGCTCTGTTGGTTGAGAGACCAATTCTTGCTTTCGGCTCAGGTCACGATCCCAGGATCGTGGGATCGAGTCCTGTGTTGGGCCTGCTTGAGATTCTCTCTCTCTCTCCCTCTGCCCCTCTCCCACTCGTGTGTGTGCTCTCTCTCTCTCTCAAAAAAAAAAAAATCGATGTGCTACAATGAGAAAAATTCTATGTAAAAGTGTTTTTTGAGAGCGCTCACCTGTTCAAGAGAATTTCAACTTTGAGGCAGTCAGTTTATCATTGGTAATATAATAAAAGAAGCACAGTTTTTGTAAGGGGACTATATTTCAGGGAGAATTTAATGTAACTTTTGACACACTGTATTAGAAATATTACTCTGCTGAATAATATTTGCTCACTTTTGAGATAGGTTAGCCATGTGCAGATAAATCTAGTAATCAACGAGTAACGTCAGGACAGGAAGGCAGTCTCTTAAGACACGCGACATTGGGCTATATGGAATTTTTCATTAATTTAAGCCATTTTCTAGAGCTCTGATGTCCAGATCAGTGACAAGTCCAATGCTCCTGAAATTTAAAGAGGACTATAAAAGGTTTACACAGTAAACTGCAGCAAACGAATTCAATGACGAACAGAGTTGTGGAGCTGGCGGAGAATTTAGCCTTCGCGCAGAGACATTTTCTGGGACACTCTGAAGAGATCTGGTGACATTTCCAAGTTCGCCCGGAACTGGGGACTGGCCAAGTCCAAGACTATTTGGCCCCGGACCCGCGATCTTCCCTGAGAGCCATCCTCTGTCCTTCCCCCCTTGGCGCCCTCTGTCCTCACCCACTGCCTTCACGCCTGGGTGTGAGGTTTCTGCCAGACGTTGGGACACAGAGAGCCTACCTTGCATGCGTCCCCCGCACACGTGCCTGTTGGCAGGCTGGCTCCGCACTGTCTCTGAAGGATCAGTCCTCAATGAGTCCCATTCCAGCTAACGAGCTTCTCTGCAGCTTAAAATACTCTAGTCAGAAGAAAGAGAAATATTTTAGAAAGTGTCTAATTGGAGCTCTCCCAATCACATATTTTTTTCATCAGGAGCCTTTGTATTTCGAGCTTTCGTAAGCCCGGTTATTCTGAGACACAATTTTACCAAGGAAGGAGAGAGTGGTTGTTTTTTTCTCTTCTAATTTGATTGTACTCCTTCATCCTCTTAGTTGCATGTTATCGAGTGTACCAGACCAAAACCATTCACATGTTCATATTTACATGGGGAAAGATTTACTTGAAAAGGGTTCTTGTAGGGACACCTGGGTGGCTCAGACGGTTAAGTGTCTCCAACTCTTGGATTCGGCTCAGGTCGTGATCTCATGGATTCATGAGTTCGAGCCCCACATTGGGCTCCAGTCTGACAGTGCAGAGCCTGCTTGGGATTCTCTCCCCCCCTTTCTCTCTCTCTCTCTCACTCTCTCTCTCCCCTCCCTACCCCCAGGGTGCTGTCTCTGTCTCTCTCAAAATAAATCAATTTTTAAAAAAGGTTGTTTTAATGCATTCTCACTATCAAAATTAAGGCAATACCTCCTGCAAGAGGGTGGGAAATGTGGCCACTATTTCCCTGTAAAACCCAATGCGACGTTGGCCAAGTGGCGGGCACTCGATGAGCGTGGGCCTGCGGCCGGGCCTGGGGACCAGGTCTGGGACGAGCCCCCGGCCGGGACAGCTGGTCCCCGAGGCTACTCCCTCATCTGTCATCTGTGTCATTACCGGCTTGGCCAGCAGCCCGTTCAGCTTACATGCGTGATGATTCTATCCCACCGGTTCCCGAGGGGGAGGAGAAATGACTTCAAAAGCAGCTGAAGAAGAAAACAAGCAAACCCCGCCAGACCTCCTCTGGGGGAGGATTACTATTCCTATTTTGGATGCTGTCCCTAAAATCCCTACCCGTGGCCGGCCAGTAAAGCGCTTCCCGGTGAGCACACGCCCCATCCCTGGACCGCTGGCGGGGAAAACGCACAGCGCTGCCTCCACCTGCGTTTTCTATGCCGCGTGTCAGAGACGAGGCCCCTGTAACGATTCCGCTTTTGCAACAGGCCCCGGATAACCAGAAGGGGTGGCATTCACGCGTCCTCGAGGCGCGATCATCAGGACGGTTCTGCGGGGAATGAACCACGTGAGCCCCGCGGGGCCCACTTCCGGCCACTGAAAAGAACATTGACGGCGCATGACCGGAAGCTCTCAGGGGGTCCCGACTTGCTGCTGCGAGCCGCTGGGGAGCAAGGAACGGACGTGTCAACTGCGGGATCGGCTGTTGCATTCTGGAGGCTTGACTTCATGCCGATCGTGGATGAAGGAGGCAGAGTCCCCTTCTGGGAGCTGCTGACGGCCACCAGCTAGAAGGCATAAGCCTCGGACTCGGCCGATGCCATCCTCCAACTCGAGACACGATCGGGACCAAGTGGGGCAAAGACAAAGGAGCGGCTGGACTTCATCGTGGTGAAGGCCGCTGTTCTCCCGAGTGCGGGGGGCAGTGGCCCGTCCGGCTGTCTGTCGGTGCCCTGGGTTGCATCCTGACCGATTCCCTGGCGTATTGTTTTACAGGAGCAGGTTAGGACTCGAACTAGCGATCGCTTTCACTTATGAACCATTTAATGATCTGCTCACAAACCCTTTTCTTCCTGCCCCCGAGTTGGGGACCCTGGATTTAGAAACTGTCGGACCCCCGGGGTGAGGGCTGCTTGCTTCCACCCGCAAACGCAACAGTGCTCCCCCTGCATTGAAGCCCCGACTGCCTCCTGGGATACCAGTCACTGCAAATCACTGGGTAAGTTGGGGGGGAAAGGGTTATGGGATGGGCAGGAGGAATTCATCCCGATTATCAAGGCATCCTGTGTCTTGCCTCCCTACATTCTACATCTGGTTAATATTAAGGTCTCAGATTCCTCTGAAATGAAAGTCTGGGTCACGATAGCGGGGAAAGAAGCCAACGAGCTGAGTGCTGCCTGAGAGCAAAGCAAAGCGTGCAGAGAGCAGAGAGTGGCCGAAGGGCGTCACGATGCCAGGACTTTGCCGAAGTACATGCTGACACTGAATTTCCTTCCACGCTCCGGAGCTAACTTCCCTTCCCCCTCCCTTGCTTTGCGAAATGTTCATGTAGACTTCCTTATGGATGGGTACATTCACTGTTACTCTGTGGGTTTCAGAAGAGGGAGCTGTGCCTGTGACCATCTTGGAGGAGAGAACTGGGTGGGGCCCAGCGACCCTAGCCCTGGGACAGGAAGCAGAGACTGGAGACTTCCTGCTTTTGGTAAGTCAGTGCGGCACTCTTTACCGTTCAGAAGATAACTACACTGTTAACCCCCAACGTTTGAAGTGTCTCTAATTCTGTCTATAAGAATGCGTATGAATTTTGGGAGGCTGTGCCTGTTCTTTTTGGACTGTTCGGTACCCACCCACCGGCCTGGCTCTGACGAATGTCCCCAGATGTGTTCTCCTAAGGAGAGGCACCGTGCTACCTGCTGCAGAGAAAGTCAGGATATGTGAGTAGGATCCCGGAGCCCCCATGAGCTGAGCCAGTGAGACTCTGGGGCAAAGATGAATCCATACACTCCTCCCAGCAAGAGGGACCACCTCCTAGGCCTAGGGTGTGAAATAGTTCCGCCACAAGGTATATTTCCATATCTTTATAAATTCTAGAGGAACACAGGTTTATGAGAAGCCACGAAACGGAAGCAGTTCTCAGAACTACGTCCCGGGATGGAAAGATACAAGCCTAACCCAGTTGTAAATTCAGACTCAGTTCTGAAAGATGCTTACGATTCAGATACGGAAGATGTTCTGAGGGTTTTCTGTCAAACCCTCGGGGAAACATGAATTCCATATTCTTTGAAGGAGGATGAGAAAAAGACAGCACGCGGACGCGTTCCAAATTTTGAAATTTTAACTGCAACTAAATGTGAACATGGATCATATGCTTCCCTCCAAACAGACTACATTTAATTGAGAGTAGGAACTCAAAGTCTGTTCCAAGAAGGATGGAGCCTATTTAGAGAAATCAAGAAGGTCACTTTATTTTATTTTATTTTAGTCCTTAGTCTCTTACCTACCAGCTCCTTGGATACTCACAGCATCTTTATACTCATAGGGACATAATATTGACACATTATTATCCCCATTTTGCAGATGAGGAACCGACACGCCGCGAGGTTAAATGACTCCAAAGTCGCACACCTGGTGTCAAAGATAATTGTCAGAGTGAACCTCTTAGCGCCATTTGACTTTCTAAACTACATGCCTGTACTTTTTTTTTTTTTGTAACTAAAATTTTTAAAAATTCCACTTGAAGATAGACTTATTTCCTCCCATTATATGTTTCTGGGTCTAACAGTTGCAATATTAGGCTTGCAAACATTGATGCAAAATTAGATCCAAAGATGATATGCCACGTTTTAAATTCACGTGTATAATATCAGTCACAGGCTTTGAGAAGTGACCTTTTTGTTAACCAGAACTCCTTGCATTAAATTCTATTCAGGAATCACAGCCTATTGTCTTAATGCATCTTTAAATAGAATTACCAGAGTGGCTGGGCATACCTATGCTTGAAACATTATTTGTCTAATTGCTTCTGCCTAATTAAGAGGTACATATTACGACAGATTTCAAATTGATTTCAAATTAAGTAAGATCTCGGAAAACGAGGACTAACGTAAACTGAATAAATTTGCTTCTTGTTTTTGCTCTTTCCTTTTTTTTTCCCCTTTTCTTTTCCTTTGAGGAATTTCATATCTGTTTTTTCAGAGGAAATCAGGAAACCATATACATGTTAAATAAAGGTCTATCGGGGCGCCTGGGTGGCGCAGTCGGTTAAGCGTCCGACTTCAGCCAGGTCACGATCTCGCGGTCCGTGAGTTCGAGCCCCGCGTCGGGCTCTGGGCTGATGGCTCAGAGCCTGGAGCCTGTTTCCGATTCTGTGTCTCCCTCTCTCTCTGCCCCTCGCCCGTTCATGCTCTGTCTCTCTCTGTCCCAAAAATAAATAAACGATGGAAAAAAAAATTAAAAAAAAAATAAAATAAAAAAATAAAGGTCTATCCAGATCATAAGATCTACGCTTCAGGTGAAAAAGGCTTTATAAATAATCTTTCTTTTTTTGCAATGTTTGTAATAATTCAGGTCATTCCTTCTGGCCAGTCGTATCATCTAGATAAAAAAAAAAATTGCCCAATCTTTGGTATTAACTTAGTACTTACGGAATATTACATAATGCAGTGCAGTCCAATTTATGGGATGAAACACAAATTTAAATAATTGAATATGGTTTATTTCACCTGTATTTCTTCTACACAGATACGCATACATGTTAAGAGTTGAGCCTTATTGACTTTACATGGACATATCTTTTTACTGAGTCTGATGACTAAAATAAAGGTTCAGAAATGGATTTTGGCTAACAAGTGCCATACATATATTATGAAAATACTTTCATTCTATTCTCTGAAACATTACGTACACATCTTTTGCCTGGAGATACTTCCTATGTGAGTCAACGTTCTTAAAATATATGCTAATAGGTAATGGTCAATGTGCTACAAACATCATTGAGTTAGCATTGAGGTAACCTTCCAGTTACGTCCTTGCAGTTTTCATAGATTATAAGATATAAAACACTGTATTTTGCCCCATTTAGACTTTCCATGCACAAGCACTGTCAGTTTTAGCCTGCAGTGTTTCTTCTAACATGTCCACACACACAAAAATAATAATAATAAAGTAGGCGCCTATATGCAGAAATTTCTCCAACCCTTCCAGAACGTAAATAATTGATCTATATGCATATGTAATAAGAAAGCTTTAAGAAAGGTGCCTTTGAAATTCAATTGCTTATCCAAATGTTTCTGGAGTAATACATTTGGAGACTATGTCTAGAATTTATAACGGCACAGGTTTTTATTGTCAGGTGGTTAAATGCCCTCGTCATAAAGTTACAGTGAAGTCACACCTGCAGAATGTACATGGGAGAGGTGTCACAAATGGGTGTCCTCTCCTTGTGACATTACTACCACTGTCTCTTTTAGTCTCTTAAATTCAAACAGGTAATTGACCGATACCCTCAAACCATCTATATGGGACTCCTCAAGTTTAGATCCAGTCCCCCAGGATCTAAGATTTAATCCCCAACACGAGGGTGGGGGTGTCCTACAAGGCTGAAAAGTACACTGACATGCGATCTTCATTTGGTGAGATGAGAGTGAGCTTGGGCTGGAAACTATGGTAGAAAGCATATGAATCACCTCGAAATACCAGCTGTCTAAACATCCCTATTACGTTAGATTCCCAGGTTAAAATTAAGAACTCAGGAAACAACAGGCGTTGGTGAGGATGCGGAGAAAGGGGAACCCTTTTGCACTGCTGGTGGGAAGGCAAACTGGTGCAGCCACCCTGGAGAACAGTATGGAGGTTCCTCAAAAAATTAAAAATAGATGGGGCGCCTGGGTGGCTCAGTCGGTTGAGCGTCCGACTTCAGCTCAGGTCATGATCTCGCGGTCTGTGGGTTCGAGCCCCGCGTCGGGCTCTGTGCTGACAGCTCGGAGCCTGGAGCCTGCTTCGGATTCTGTGTCTCCTTCTCTCTCTGCCCCCCCCCCCCCCCCCGCACTCACGCTTTGTTTCTCTGTCTCTCAAAAATGAATAAATGTTTTAAAAAATTAAGAAAAATTAAAAATAGAGTTACCCTATGACCCAGCAATTGCACTACTAGGTATTTATCAAAAGGATACAAAAATGCTAGTTCGAAGGGACACAATGTACCCTAATGTTTATAGCAGCGCTATCAACAATAGCCAAACTATGGAAAGAGCCCAAATGTCCATAGACTGATGAATGGATAAAGAAGATATATGTATATGTGTGTGTGTGTGTGTGTGTGTGTGTGTGTGTGTGTGTGAAATGGAATATTACTCAGTCACCAAAAAGAATGAAATCTTGCATTTGCAGTGATATGGATGGAACTAGAATGTATTATGCTAAGCGAAATAAGTCAGAGAAAGGCAAATATCATACGATTTCAGTCCTACGTGGAACTTAACAAACACAACAGATGAACACAGGGGACGGGAAGGAAAAATAAGATAAAAACAGAGAGGGAGACAAACCATAAGACACTCTTCAATGCAGAGAACAAACTGGGGGTTGCTGGAGGGAAGGGGGGAGGGGGGAGGGGCTACATGGGGGATGGGCATTGTCTGGATGAGCAGCAGGTGCTGTATGTAAGTGACGAATCACTAAGTTCCATTCCTGAGACCATTATTTCACTATATGTTAACTAACTTGGATTCAAATAAATTAAAAAATAATAAACTAGGAATAGATACGAAAAAAAGTTAGATTCCCACATGATATTTAAAAATAACCAGCAAGTAATCATATTATCAGTTTTAGCTCTGAGAATCTTTTATAAGATAGCCTCAGCCTAAAGTAATCACGCTCATTCAATTTCAGTCACGTAAGAGAATGCAGTTCTGTGCAAATTGTCAGATACACACCCCAAAATTAAACAACCACATAAAGTAATTGGGAGAATTCATTTTCCAAACCTTCTTCCTCTCTCTGTTGCTCTCACGTTTCTTCTTTCTAATATCTAATCTCTCTTCTCGGCAAGTCCTCCACAGTAAGACAAAGCTTATTTTGTGAATCCCTGTAATCTGAACGATCATCTCCTTTTTCATTCTTCCCATTGCTTCTGATGACAAAGCCACCGCTGTTACTGAGCTGATGGCAATAATGGATGTTTGTGCTGGCTCTATCTTTTGTACTCCCTTCTTTGAAGGGGGGCCCTGGGCTGAGCTGGTAGCCTGTTGAAGGAGGATGTGCTCTCTGCCCGAGTGTGGGGGGGGGGTGGGGATACAGTAATTGTTTCTCTTCAAAAACAAATGCTCAAAACTTCACCCCAAATTAACATTGTAAACAATTTCCACATCATCAATAATGACATTTGAAAATCTGGTTCTAACAGTCCGGGGAAGGAAAGGGAAGGAGAGGAAGGAAAATGTTTTAAGGGCTCTTGCCTCTTACACCTGTGATTCTCGAAACCTTCACCGAAATCTGTAAAACATTGATGTTCACTCTGGAGTTTTATACTTTTAAACATTATTGACTTTCTGGTAAGAAGGCAGATGTTAAGACCTTAGAACGTGCACTGTGGCAAGAGGCAAACTATTAAATGCTGTTCGTTGAACTTTGTAACATAGATCTAGGACTTTCAATTTATTTTACCAGCTGTATTGAGGTATAATTCACATATCGCCCAGTGTA